AAGAGAAAAATAACTAGAACATGAAATGTGCTTCATCTAGCCATAGTGATATTATCTTCCATCACCAGTTCGAACAAAGAAATCGTGAGTATTTTCTATCCGTGAACCAGAAAAATTTGTCTAAATAACACATGTTGCGTTAGAATTTTCAATTACACTGGATTTGAAGAGCATTCATAAAACTTAATGTCAAACTGTAAATAAAGACACAGAATCAGTAGAAACAATTATGGATTCCATCAATCTCTTAACACGAAGAGTTTGCGTATAAATAAACTGCCATCGAGAAGCAACATATATTTAGCTTCTCTGGTTGTGTATGTTGACATGGAATCGATCCCTTGTAATAATAAGTAGGAAAATTGCCACTCAATTTGAATTGATTTTCTGGAAATACCAATTTCTAAGCTCAAATACCAAACTGACTGACAAACCCAGTGTAATTATTACCTCCTACATACTATATTTTCGCAAGAGATCTGAATTCGTCATTAATTTTCTTCCTCAGATTTCGAAATGACATAGAATTAAATATGGTTTTACTTTTACCATTAAAGTAAATCATTACATTCACTGCAGGGAAAAAAAAAACCAGCGAAGGAAAAAAGAAAAAATAAAAGCATAGAGACAAAACCCTATTATTTTGTAATTAATTAAAAAAAAAATCAGAAAGCCAAAGTGGCAATAAATTAAACATACAAACATTACATAACAACAGAAAAAGTACTGTAACTTCAAAACAATTTCTAAGACAGAATCAATTTCATCCCAAGACAAAAGCAAAGCAAATTCAGAGAAACGGGGAGGAAAAACTTACAGTAGAGAGAGAGAGAGAGAATTGAATTTTCGCGGTGGAGAATCGCAGTGCTCCTACGGTAAGGTATTTATCGTCGTCATTCTTCGTTTAATTTCACACACATAGATCAAACGCACCCCCACATGTTCACTCCATTGACAATCATCAATCCGATGTGACAGGTAGCACTCGGATAGAACTGAGTGGTGCGGTGGAAAACCGAAGAATTATTCTACTCTACCAGATTTTGGTTCACAGATTTTGTACAGACTATCTCACATGAGGTGGGTCCCGAGAACCTAACTCATTAAAAAAACCCCCCAAAAATGTTAAAACACCCACCCACCCCATCTCACATGGCTGTGCCAGGTCTTTTACCGACCTGG